ACAGCAATCATTTTCCAATAATTGTCTAGTCTCAACAAACTGAGAATGAGTGAGATGCACTTTTACTTTTTTTGCCTGAATACTAACCCCATCTTTATGGCTAAGCATCCCTTAGCATCCATCCATTCTGACTCTACTTATCAATCCTGCTTCAACCATTCATAATCTGGGGATTTATGAGTTGCCCATATGGTCTCACTGTAAAGCCACAGACTAAATGCAAAACACATTTACTTAAGCACATTAACATCTGTAAATATCCACTGAGTCATGGACAAATGACAGTAACTGCCTATGGTTGACTTATTTAAGTTTGCCACAGTGATCACAGCGTTTCTCCTGGGATGTAGTTGTAGCGGCGGAGATGAAGCACATGTGTGCGAAAATTCTTTAGTGTGCTTACAAAGCGCACCCTGCTGGGAGGTTTCTATGCATCTGCCGGCACCAGAAGGGCTCTTGAGGCTTGAGTACATACAGATCATTTGCACACAGTAATGAAAAGAGGAACTGTCTGTCTAGCTAGCTAACAGGCATTCACTCTTCGAATTACTCATTGTTAGCTGTTCTTTTATCCAGAATTCACTTGCATTACCACACCGTTGTGTTAACATTTAAATGTTAATTTACTTAAATGTAATGCTAGAATACATGGACAACGTTTATTTTATCGAATCCCATCCAAATTATATGTAATGATAACAAACATCTGTGAGGGAATCTGTATACTGTCATTGTGTTTAACAGCTTTTGCTTATTACAGTGGCCTTCACGCAAAGTAAGACCCCCAAATGGAATACCTTGTGTCTTTGGAACAATCACATTTGTTTATGGCACAGATTAAGTGCATAATTCCTTGTGTGTTCCTGTCAAGTGAGTGTGTTTGTTCTAATTCTCCTGAGTGATACTCCTGTTAAATTGCAGAACTGTTTTCCCTTCTGTGAATGATAATCCTAAATCTGTTGTGAGCATCGCTCGCTTAATTGTTGACACCTGACTGATGCTTGTTGTTCTCAACATGGTGCAAAGTGTTTCATTCACATGCTTTACTCACAGGCGTGTGAATTGAAGTGGATATGAAGCATCCATAGAGAAAATTGTTGTCCTCTCCACTCCTCACATTTTTAAACCCATTTAAACCTTTTCTACTTGTCTTATTTTTAGAACCTATATAAATAACCCATATATATCATACTGCTATATACACAGTATATCAGTTGTACTAATGTATTCATTCAAGCCAGAGTGCTGGATTGTTGCGAACAAGTGAGAGACAACCATTTGTTCTGTTATATAGGGCACAGATGGGAGCTACTTGAAATGGTTGACAACAGAGCAACAGTGCACAGATAACAGCGCAGCAGTCAAAGACTGAGGTACCTCAAGACTTCCTGTGATCCCCACCATCAATCAACTTTAGAGGGCTCCTAATGGTTTCTCCCTGGGCCCCGGGGCTGCCAGAGGTGCATACCAAACACCACCACAAAGCAAACTGATGTACAGCAACAAGGTGTCACGTTCACACAGTGATCAGGTTCAGATGCCAGAAACATTTAAATATGATAGCATGCGCCTCACAGGGGATGCCAATACGAGCCCTTCTCTAATTACCAAAGAAGTCAGCACTGAATGCAGAGGCTGAACACTTTGGCTACTTGGACTTGTAGAATAGCTGCGAGGTCAGGTGCAAAAAGCAAAGTGCTTTCTTGTTTAAGAGTCAAGAGTGGCAGAAGCTAGATTTAGCCTACTTGGGTATCATGTTACATCACTGAGCTGGACTGGGTCAACAGGTTCATTAGGCTGCACTCGGCTGGGGAGAGTGGGGCCTCTCTCCGCATGCTGATGCCACAGCTCTCGTTAACATATCCTTGCCTCAAGTAGCACAAATCAAAACGGCACGATCCACAGTTATCTAGCTTACCTACCGCTAGTAGGGGACCAGGTGTGATTCAAGTCTTGTCAAGTGTAAGAAGTTATATGAAATTCACCATGGATCGTGTTAACAATGTGTTTTCTCCACTAACACCTGTGGAAAAAGCTAGTGTCTCAGCAGTCCTGTTCATACCTGGCATTAATAAGCATCTTGGATAACCCAACCACAAGTGAACAGCTCTAAGCACGTCAGTTCATACCTCCCATTAGTATGCGTCACCATGTGCTGATCAATATGCAAATAAATTCACATTTTCTGTTTGCAAAAACAAAAGTGTTTTAAAAGGCAGGAGGCAGCAATGCACTTCCTGTGCCTGTCTGCTGGAAATTATAAGAAGTACAAACAATGCAGACCGGATCTATTCCTTTGCATATCTCAGGCAATCACGACGCTCAAGATATTGTGCACACTAATAATACACTGCAACATTTGCATCCACAACAGGCCATATGCAACCCAGGCCACTGCAGAAAGTTGTCTGAGTGATCTGAGGTGAGCCACTTGTGACTGGATCACCTCAGACTAATACTAGAGCAGACTGTAAATTATGGATGTATCGATCGTAAGGGGAAGGAAATATTCATCCGATTTAGATTTCACTTAAGTGAGGTAGGTAGACCCTTTATGACTCAAAAGTGCAGCTAGAAACCACATCAATGCGCTACTGTCTGCTGACTGCAACCCAGTATTTCTGCTGCATACAATTTGCAGCAGCAGCCTGCCAGAGGGAGAGGAGGGGGGAGAAAAACAGAAGTAAGGGAAAGGTAATTTAACTACCTCACCTTAATGTTAAACATCAAGTTAGATATATTTGTTATTATCTATTGATATTCATGAATGCACACAACACCCTCCTTCCCAGAAAGGCCATGGGGCATGCTGGGACAAATAATGTAGGTCGTCACATCACTACTGCCACCTGTTGTACCAGCAGCTTTTCCACAAAACATGAATATGTAACTGATCATGTTTTTGCACTAAACTTCTGCAACATCAACATTCTTCTTACTACAGTCAGCTGCTACAACCGATACTGGCTGACCTTTGTCCCAGGACACAGGAGAAAAACAGCTACATTTGGCAACTGAGGGAGGAGCCTGTGGAACTGGCTTCCACACATTTACACAATACAAAATAAGCTATTTGAAATATACCTTCAATTTAATCATGTCACAGTGTCTGCACAAGCCAATACCTACACCTATTTCTCCTGTAGCACAAAATCATGGCTACAATTGACAAAAGAGGTGTTTCGACTCTGATCGGCAGCGAGGAACTCTAATTAGTGAACACACATGTCCTTGTGCATAAAAGCACATTCAAAGCAAAGCATCAGAAAAAAGCAGCAAGGCAAACATCCACACAGTGTGAGTGTGAATCGTTTGGCTCAGAGCATGTTGCTTTGTCCCATGCTTTGCTGGAACACATCACACAGTAAAGAAAAGACAGCTAATTAGTACTCATTAGAATAAGAGGCAGCCCCACAACTATACAATTGCATTAATCAAAGGTTAACTTTTCAGATCAAACAGCGACGTGTGACAAACACTCCAGTGATGTCATGTGCTCCAATTTACAAATACAGGCAACTGGGCTGTTGCCAAAGCACAGTGGCAGGATGGCTACGACACACTTATCTCTGCTTCCTGCTTTCGCGCAGCGAGCTCAGCCTGCATCATCAGCTGTGGTCTTAAGCTACACACTGCTGGGAAAAGCTCATAGGGGGAGGGGAGCCACACAATTAGGATTGAGCTGAATCTTTAGGATTCTCAGTACACCAGCGCCAAGTGTGCTCTCCTCGTTTTTGCGGCTCACCAGGGGCATCAGCCGAGCCACTCATTGTCAAACCACAGCTGAAAAGGTTAGAGTGCAGGGGACTTGTCAACAAAACCACAAATGACTCATCTATCTCTCCACTCTTCAAAAAAACTGGTGACACGAGCAAACAAACTCACACTGTGACACACACAACTGATCATCAAACACCTTCCCCAGAACAGAAGGAGGAGGCGTCCGTATGCAACACAACCGAAAGGGAATCCTGCATGATATTCAGGTTACATGCTGATTTCATCTCAGTTTCCCATAAGACGCTGTCATTGAGTGACATCATAAAATTTTGTCTGAGTTGAGCTCAGGGGAAATGTACCAGCCGCCTGTTACTATAAATGCCAAAATGATTATTCTGAAGATTACTGTTACAAAGCACATTTATGGCAGATTTAAGTTTAAGAAAAGATTAATTAGCGCTTCATATATGTTAAACAATGGAAAGAAAAAAAATATATATAAAATACATTTTTTTTTTTTTTAATTTTTTAAAAAAAGTGAACCTCCTCTAAACACAGTCACGTCTGGTTGGGTATGAATTAAAATACACAGCAGAAGAGAACTATAAAAAACAACATGTGGCTCTCTGATCCACCTTACAAACACTTTTCCTGCCCTAAGAAATACAATCATTCCTCCACTGTGCAGCAGCTCCAGGCACAATAAATCTTACTTGTCAGCCCAATCTATGTAGAAAAAAACCCCTGCACAATCCTACAGGTAACTGAAATGCCCATGCATGCATGCATTCACCTCGTTTCACTCCATGGAAGAAAAAAAAAAGAGGAGCAGCCAGTCCCTCTCGCTGTTGCTCTTGTTGATGCACTGGAGCTGTACAGCCATCATGAAGTATGGTCCCTCTTCCCCACCCCAACCCACCTCACCTCCCTCCTCTCTGGCTAGTGAAGCAGCCAGTCTACCTAGACGAATGCACAGAGGCAACGCAGTGCTTAAAACACTGAGGATTCATCCAGACATCGGCTGAAGAAGATGTGTGCTGGGGTTTTGGTTGTTTTTTTTTTTTTGGTCAATCAACAAGTCCCCGTTATCTCGCAGACAAATAAGCTGTCGATCAAAGTTGTCATTCCCATAAATTGCGATGCAACGCTGCTGCAGCCAGCCAAGCAAGGGGGGG